GTCCCGTGCCGCTGCTGCAGTCTCCCGGCACACCAGAAGGTGAGAGGCTCCCCGCTCTCCCCATCCCAGGCAGTCTGGGTGCTCCCCGTACCCTCTGGTATTCTTGCCCCTATAACCACTGGGGTCCTCCAGAGGATAGACTCGTGTCACACCCCTTGCTTCGGGGGCAGTCCTTTCGCTTTCTCTTTTCGGGTCTTGGTTCCCCTCACTGGGCAGCTCAGTTTCTCCCGGGGAACTGCAGTTCTCTCTCCACTCCCACAGTTCTTACACCCTTGCATCACCCTGCCCAAGTCCCTGTACTGTCATCGGGTACCACCTCCTTCGCTTCTAGTCCTTTATAGGATGTGAGGAAATGGCCTCAAGTTGCGCTAGGGGAAGTTTAGATTGGACATTAGGAAAGATTTCTTTATTGAAAGAGTGGTCAAGCCTTGGAACAGGCTGCCTAGGGAAGTGATGAAGTCACCATCCTTGGAGGCGTTCAAAAAATGTGTAGACGTGGCACTTCGGGACATGGTGGTGTTGGGTTGGTGGTTGGTCTTGATGGTGTTAGAGGTCTTTTCCAGCCTTAATGATTCTATGATTCCCCATGTCTCTCTTGATCCCCTGATGTAGCTTCTCCCTTTCTTGGTCAGCCCCATCTCAGCACTCTCAGATACTGGTTTGCCCTGCAGTCTTACCAGCAGGTTGGAGGCAGTCCTGACCTGCTGGGAATTTGCAGACAGGCCCTTCTTTGTGCTCCCCTGTCCTAGGCTGTGCCGACGACCTGTCTTTGCCCTATGTATGGGGTTTCTACTGTCAGGGTTGTCTGGGTTGTAACACTGCCCTGTTCCTCACAGGTGGCCTTGCCAGCTCTGTCCCCCACGATGCAGATGGGCACCATTGCGCGCTGGGAAAAGAAGGAGGGTGACAAGATTGGTGAAGGGGAGCTCATAGCAGAGGTATCGTGGGGGCAGAGGCTGTGCTGCGTTTATAATGAGCTGCATGTGCATCCTGGGTTGTGTCCCAGGTTGCTCTCACTTGAACACAGATCTTGGTTCAAGATCACAGATCCCAACACATACTGTTGGGAAGAAGTGGCTAACAGCCTTTCAAAGCTGGTTGATGCTTTTCCTCTTTCTGAGCAGGAGCAGCACTTAACCTGTTTGAGAGCATACTTTCCTAGAGCTGGTACTACAGGGTACCACAACTCTGTGTGTGTTGTGACCCTACAGTATCAGACTGGAAGGCTCTGAGCTTACTGGTCTTTTCCATTGCCATAATGATATCCTGTTCTCTCTCAAAGGTGGAAACAGACAAAGCAACAGTTGGCTTTGAGAGCCTGGAGGAATGCTACTTGGCCAAGATCCTGGTGCCAGAAGGAACAAGAGATGTTCCTATTGGGGCCATAATATGTATCACAGTAGAGAAGTATGTATTTCCCTAACCCTTTAGTTGAATTTTCTGTCTTGGGGCTTCTTGGGTGCCTTGTGTGAAAGGCTTAGAGACAGTCATCTGACTAGTTTTGCGGTTCTGTGTTTCTTCTAGGCCTGAGTATGTTGATGCCTTTAAAAATTATACTCTGGATTCTGCAGCGTCTGCCCCCTTTGCAGCCTCAGTGCCTCCCCCTCAAGCTGCAGCTCCCTCACCACCAACTCAGCCTTCTCCTCAGGCTCCTGGCAGCTCTTATCCTCCTCATATGCAGGTAAGAGAGCATTGCTGATGATGTAAGGTTTGTTGCACTCTTTCTGTCTTTGGCATTGCTAGCTCCAGGGCATTTTGTTATAAATATTATCTGGAGTGGGAAGTTATGAGCTATAATTGCAGGAGTGTGTGCCACTTGACGTGTTGCATGCTTAAAGCAGGTGTTTGGGGAGGTTGCAGAAAGCTTTTTTCAGAAAATTATTTTAGCATCCCAGCTGCTGGTAGAGGAGAGACTTGTCTCTCCAGGACTGTTAGTGCAGTCTGGAAAAACCTGCTACGTTTGCATTATTTGGACAGTTCTGGTATAAAAACACCTTGTACTACGGTGTGAATAAGCTCTGAAGGTCATGCTTACATCTTGGAGCAGAACTCAAGTCTGTGATACTCTGATGAACACACCAGATGCGTTTGTGGGTGACTAACAATGAGTGGTATTTGTGAATAATCTTTTTACCTTCCTTAGATTTTGAAGTGTACATCCACTGTTGTTGTCCTTGAGCACTTTGTAGCAGAGTATTTCTTTGACATTCCTTTGAAAAAGAAAATTTGAAATACTAAACCTCATTCCACAGATGATACATGTGGGGACTGATTTGTCTGAAATGTTATGCAAATTTAGTAATTGAACAAAGAATTAATTAAAGGCTTCTTAATCTGATTTGTGTTTTAGCTGCTAAACTTGCTTACTTCCCCCTGCTTGCTTTTTCTGTCTGGTTCTCCTGTGAAGATGTACTGACGGGTGCTGTGTTTGTTGCACAGCAACATGCACATGCAAACCTACAGCATCTTTGAGTGCTTATTGGAAGACAAGTACGTATAGCTTTTAAAGGGGCCAAACCTGTTTGTCACAAAATTACTTCCTTCCAGTCTTCCTTCCAGCTGCAAGACATTCCCAATGTGATGGTGGTAATAATTATTTTGATACATCGATTTCTTGCTTTTTGCTTTTACTTGCTTTCTTGCTTAGGCCTTGATAAAAGAAGCCACACTAGCAATACAGTACAGCACTGTCCTTTGCTGTAATGGAGCCAGAACTAGGAGCACATTAAAGGCTGGCTACTTCTTTAGGTTGGCATCATTTAGTCAGGAGTTAAAACTGTGTTCCTGTTCCTTTTGGATTACCAGAATCTGATTCTCTTGTATTTTCTGGTTTCACAGGTCACTCTTCCTGCCCTGTCACCTACCATGACAATGGGCACAGTGCAGAGATGGGAGAAGAAGGTTGGGGAGAAACTGAATGAGGGAGACTTACTGGCAGAAATTGAGACAGATAAGGCCACAATAGGTGAGTCAACCCCAAAGCCGAGAATGGAGGTTAAGGGGAAGATCCACAGTAGCCTCTGTGCTGGCTGTTCTCCTAGCTGCTCAGGATGTGAAGCTATGGGGCAACTAAAACAAATTTTGTTAACTTCTCATTCCATTGGAGACCTAAACATCACAGCTCGTAAAAACACTTCTATTCCTGCATCAATCCTTCTTAGTAACATACAGTGCATGGAGATGTTTCCCTACCAGTTGCACTGGAAAGGATTCTCTTGCCTGCTAAATATAGGACAGGGCGTTAGCTACCAGAGTCTTTAGAAGCAGCGTTTAGAGGAACTTCTCAGTTGCATCAGGCACCAAATCAGTTTTGTTTCTTTCCCTTACAGGCTTTGAAGTGCAGGAGGAAGGCTACTTGGCAAAAATCTTGGTGCCTGAAGGAACAAGAGATGTGCCATTAGGAACAGCTCTCTGCATCATTGTGGAGAAAGAGTCTGATATTCCTGCCTTTGCTGACTACCAAGACACTGCAGTAACTGACATGAAGGCACAAGCTCCTCCTCCTCCTCCTCCTCCTCCTCCTCCTCCACCAGTAAGAACCGTTCTTAGCATGTGAGAGAAGTTATGGGGACCATTAAGAGGTCTGATCTGAACTGTTCTGCTGGTTTGACAGTGTGAAGCCCTGGCTTCAACAGTAATCTTTATGATTCTGTGAATGCAAGGCTAACACATGTATTGGTCATAGGTGACATAAGAAGTGATCGCTAGTTTGCCCTCCAAAAAATGGAGCAGATAGTCATTCATTATGATCTCTTCTCCAGCCGGTTGCTTGTGCCAGTTCTAATGCCTCATCCTTGAAAATTGGGAGCATAAGTTACTTATTTCACCTTTTTTGGGTGTATAGTTCAGCAGCTTAGTTGGCCCCCTTCCCAGGAAGTTTCTGATTTAATCTCTGGCACTGAGAAACTTCTCTGAACTGAAAATTCTTTCAGATTAGTGACTATTTTTGCTATTCTCTTGACTGGTAATTAGATGGTCCTGGTCTCTTACTGTATCTTCAAGGCTTTTGCTGAATAATCCTGAAGCTAATGGCTTTGATTCTTCTGTTAAGGTGGTGGCAACTCCTGCTGCTACTCCTCCTCCCCAGCCTGCTGTTCCTTCTACTCCAGCAGTCCCCACAGCTGGACCACCTCCCCGGAAAGGAAGGATCCTGGTTAGTCCCCTGGCAAAGAAAATGGCAGCAGAAAAAGGAATTGACCTTACTCAAGTGAAAGGTAGGTTGCCCTTCCCCTTCCTTGCTCTTACTATCATGTATCTGTCCATCTAGATACATACTTGCCTATTCTTTTCTTTCCTCCCTGTCGGGAACATCCTGACTATGCAGCTGCCCTCACCAGAGGCTAGGTGACTTCTCTCTGTTGAATAAAACTGGTACCTTTAGAAGCAATGCCCTGTTGTAAATAATTGAAGTCATCTTATGTTTTTATGTGACCGTTTTAGGTACTGGACCAGATGGTAGAATCACAAAGAAAGATGTGGAGTCATTTGTTCCACCAAAGGTTGCACCAGTGAGTAGTTTTGACATCTGTAAAAATGAATATTTTACTGTAGTGATGGGAATGCTCGATAGAAATGCATTATGGAATGCATTATATGGAACTGTTATTGCTGGATTGGTTGGGTTATGATGCTGTGTGTACTATGGTGACTGTTAGGTTGGAAGCTTAACCTATCATAAATGCAGACAAAGTTTTCTTCCTCTGTTTGTCCCTTTGGTATTTCACTGAGAAAAAAAATTTTGCACTTCCAACCCTTCATTTGGTTTCACACATTGTTATGGATTGAGGTAAGCCCAGTTGCAACTGATTGAACATTGCTGAAAAAAGGGAACTTTAGCAAGAGACGAAATTAGGAAGGCAAAAGCCCAGCTAGAACTCAATCTGGCCACAGTTGTAAAGGATAACAAAAAATGTTTTTACAAATATATTAACAACAAAAAGAGACCCAAGGAGAATCTCCATCCCGTATTGGAACATTGTCACCAAGGATGAGGAAAAGGCTGAGGTACTTAATGCCTTCTTTGCCTCAGTCTTTAATAGCCAGACCAGGTATCCACAGGGTATTCAGCCCCCTGAGCTGGAAGGCAGGGATGGAGAGCAGACTAAACTCCCCATAATCCAGCAAGAAACACTTAAGGACCTGCTATGTCACCTGGATACCCACAAGTCTATGGGGCCTGATGGGATCCACCCAAGAGTACTGAGGGAGCTGGCAGAGGAGCTTGCCACGCCACCCTCCATCATTTCTCAGCAGTCCTGGTTAACAGGGAGGTCCCAGATGACTGGAGGCTTGCCAAAGTGACACCCATCTACAAGAAAGGCCAGAAGGAGGATCCTGGGAAATACAGGG